GAAGAGGCCACAAGCCTTATTATAGGGAACTAAAACCTAAGCCTTTAACCCTTACAGTAACCCTATGAGGGACCACCAATTCCTAGAACCCCCCATTTAGCTGCCATGTTCGACATCAAGGGACTGGACCCTTTGCTATCCAATGTGAAGGGCGAGGCTGGGACGCTGCAAAGGTTTTAGGGCTTAGGGTTTAGGGTTTAAGTGCTTAATGTTTGGAGTTTGGGTGTTGAGGCTAGGTCAGTTCCCCTACAGTAATGACTCCGTGATGTGGTGTTAATAGGGCCTTAACATATTAATCTGCTGACAATAGTCCTAAACCCCAAACTCTTAAACCCTTGAACCTCAAACCCCTAAACCCTTAAAAACCCTTTAAACCCTTAAACCCTAAACCCTTTTTCCTAAACCCTAACCCACTTCTGGGTGGGGAACGGAGCGAAAGCTGAAATTTTAGCGAGCTGTGGAGTTGTAAACTCGTGCCCACTAGGTCCATGCTTTTCCAGGGGCTGTACCCAGACCCCCCGAAAGGATCCCAAAAATGGAATCCCTCAAAAGAATCCCAACAATGGTTCCAGCCACTTTTTGAATCCTTTCGGGGGTCTGGGTATGCAACTCTGCATACCCTGTATACACCTTGCACCCTACCAGGCTATGACTTTCAGGCTTATTCTGAGTGCCCATGGTTCTAGGCGGATCCGGCAGAAACCAACAAGCAGAGAGGAGTGCTACTTCAACACGATTCCAAAGCCCACCAATCAGAAAAATGTTCTAAGTTGGGGATACTATCAGTGCCCTACGTAGCGTAGGTAGCGTAGGATTTGCTGGGTTCAGCCACCCAACACAGGCACTATATCTAGATCGCCTTGAACTTTACCATCGGCGTGAGAGCTGCAGGTCCCAGATTTCCATCCGCCCAGTCGAAAGTCAGCACAGGAGGCCGGTTTTCAGATTCAGGGCTCCAGGTTTTCCAAGAATCGGAGGGTTCTACCAGACCCCAAAGACCAAGATTCTCATGATGGCAGCTCTCGACTGGCAGCTCTACGTTTTGGAAATTCCCCATCACAGCTTTAACTGTAACTTTGCTTTCCCGCTCCTCATGAACATAGGGCTACTGTAGGGGTTTAGATGCCTCTCTCTGGCTGCCTTGGGTGTGACCTCCATAAACCTATCTGGGAGTTTCCCAAAATTAGGGGTACCCTTTTAGGGGTCCCAATATTAAGGATTATAGTATTTTGGGGTCTATATTGGGGTCCCCTGATTTTGGGAAACTACCATCTGTTGCTTGAAGAAGTGGGCGGGGGGTTGCTTGCTTGGATTTGCTTTACGGGTGCTTAAGGGAGAGTGGGGCAGGGCATCCTCATGATGATCCCAAAATGATGCCCATATATGCCCTAAACCCTAAACCCCTAAACCCTAAACCGTATTATAGTCCCTAGATGCACTCCTTCACCCCCTTAAGCACCAGTAAGTCATTGAGGGTCTTCGGGCTCCAGTGCTAGGGACGTCCTGGGTTCAGGTTTAACGGCTTCATGGGCAAGTACTACTGCAGGCCGCCAAAAATGATGAATTTCTATAGTTCTAGATTCCTTGCAATGTTTTTTGTATAGGGTGATCCCAATAAACCTCAGATGGATCTTGCTGATGAAGCATGATAACCCCACACTATATTAACCTATCTTACCCCATTTACCACTTCCTTTTCCAGCTGATTCTTTATTATTGGGGGCCCGATACACCCCAAAATACTCCCTGTATGGTATCCAGTGCAGTTCAATGTTCAGCCCAGCTTGCCTCTCCAGGTAGAGTCTTTCAACCCTCCTAAAGCCCCAGCCAAGAAGCCTAAATCCTAAGCCCTAAACCTTAAACCCCAGATCGTCAACGCTGAGCTCCCAATCTACACTCTGAATCCTACATCCAGGCCCCGAAGCCCTAGGCTTTAGGGTTTAGGGTTTAGGGGTTTAGGGTTTAGGGCTAAACTTCAAGCCCTAAACCCCTAAACCCTTCAATCTCTGGACGATGGCATCCAAACCTCCTTACTGACGCTACTTACGGGCGCTTAAGGGGGAGTGGGGGAGTGAATATGGGAACTAAGGATACACATGGGGATTATAACCCTAAAACCTTAAACCCTAGAAGGATTATTATGAAGATTCCATCCGCTGCCTCAGGCACCTCCCCCTCGAAGCAGAGAGGCTCTCTGATGCGGCTTTCATCTTTCTGATGTCTGGGTTTAGGGGTTTTAAGGGTTTGGGGGGCGTAGAGCTGGAACCCCAGCTGAAAAAGGGAATGGAAGCAGTGGTTGTATATAGGTTCCATGGGAAGTCATGCCCCCTAATTGAAATTCCCGCCTCCTTCATATTGCACGTTCCCGTTGTGGTATACTATGGTATACTGCAATATGTTGGAAAGCTTTAATGTCAGGGGGTGGATTCCTAATATTAGGGGGAGGGCGTTCATTGGAGGTTCAGGGAAAGCTTTTTTTGGGGCCTAGACTTTAGGAATTGGGTTTGATCTGAGGTTCAGGGAAAGTCAGGAGATCAGAGGGAAGATGCATTTGCGGTCGTATACGTATAGGGGAATCATCACGGAGTTAGAATTGTAGGTAGAGTCCAGTTATGACCATATTAGGGGATGTAGGGGGTTTATAATTGGGTTTACATGCACATAGACTAGGGTAACTCTGAACCTCACAAAAGGGCTTGGATGGGCTTGGGCTTTTAGGATTTGCGGTGTAGGCGCACGGGTAAGAACTTTGCATTTGGGGTCAAGTGTGTGGGGAGTCTAGGATTCAGGGGGTAGGACTTAATGTTGGGGGCTTACAGTTCAGGATTTGGGGTTCGCGGGGTTTGGGGCTTCAACGGCTTGGGTGAGTAAAGGGATGTTGGTGATTCCTACCCCCAACATGAGGACCTAGGACCTATGACTCTCATAGGATCCTTATCATAGGGTTTGGGGGTTACGGAAATGCTGTAACTATTTGTGCGCTGTGGGGGGATCGCAAAGGGAAGAGATTGCAAAGGGATTCTTGACATGTGGGGTGATGATTTGCGGCCCTTAGAGTAGAGATTGTAATCTGCTCGAGAAGATGTGGCGCTCTTTCACAAAACGCCAGGGTAGCCTTCCTGGTTGAGGGAGGATTGAGATGTAGGATAGCCCCACCTTGGGGATCGTTACGAAAAAGTGCCGGTAGACCTCTTTATGGGGTTCCATCTCTGTAGCTTGGGGAGGGTTTCAAGACAATTTTGTTCGGCCCTTAACCATGTCTAAGCTGAAGGGATCTTCGAAAGCACTTGAATTGGAAGGAAGTTTGCGCTCATCGTTAGGAATCGGCTCCGGCTGGGTGTCATGTTTGCAGGGTTAACCTCGCCATAATCCTCTTTCGTAATTTGCCGCCTGCAACATTTTTGTGTGAATCTCAGATAATCCTTAAAACTTTCCGCCCTCAGCAGATGCGTTTTCAAGTGCGAGAAGGGAGATGCCCAATCTTTACAGACCCAAACAAACCCCTAACACTCAACCTGCTCACGGCTGCAAACCTTCTCTCATGAACTCTCCTTGGCTTTGAGACGCTTTGTGGCCAAAACCTGTGTCTTAAAGCATTGGTCCCCGAACGCCTCTAAAAGATGTCGTCCTTGATATAAGGTGCCAGGAAGTCTTCCTCATGTTCTCATCAAATCGAGATCTCTGCAAATCAGCTCGGGGTGTCCGCTTTTCTTCCGAAATCTACGAACCACCCATGCATCACGGCAACCCAACACTCAGGTAGACTCCAGGGTCCCCCAGGCAGAGAAGAGACCTTCTGAGAACCACTGAGTTCTTGCGCTGCTTATGAGGGATGCTCTATTTGGAGCCCCTGAGAAGTCTACCCTTAAGTGCACCCTGGACCTCTAACCCCTAATCAGCTATCTCAGCCGCTAAACGCCATCAAGCCGAAGCCTTGAACCCCACAGCCTAGGGTTTAGGGTTTAACTTGAGCCGCAAGCCCTAATTCGAAACCCAGAAACTTAAATCTCAAGTGTGTGACTTACAGGAGCGACTTCGTGACTTCTATGCGCAGCGTGAGAAGCGGATTGTTGAGGCCTCGTTCCGGGGGTACAGAGGGCAAGGTTTTCAGGGTCCTTCTAGTATAAGAGGTTTCAAAGAGAGTTCTAGCCCCCTTTAAGTAGATAGAATATGGCTTTGGGTATCCCCATACACCCCATATTCTATACCGATATAACCTATTTTAGTAGTTTCCATTTCATTTTCCATTGTTCCCATATAACCCTAAGATTACCCCGTATTCTATCTATTTAAGGGGGACTATAGAGCTCTGGGCTTGCCATGGAGGACGGCTCAGGTTGTCTTGACGCTCTTTGTACAGAACGCTATATTGGGGTAATATTTGGACAATGGAAAAGGAAATGGAAACGACAGGGATTCTAGGGATTATGTTGGGGTTATATAGGGAAATAACATGGCATCTACTATAGTATATTGGGGTAATATAGGTGGCCAAGGTTGAGTATGGCACCACCGCCGCCGCCACCACTACAACAACAGTTGTGGCCAAGCTGCTCAAGGGGCCTCTCATCAACTGAAGTGGAAGCAGCGGTAGCTCTTGACGAACCCTTTGCAACACATGGCCTGGCAGGTAACTATGTAGTTGCAATAAGCAGCAATGGACTGTAAAAGACGTTTGCTTTCGACACGTAGAGGGGTCCTGGCAAAAAATGCTATGCAGAGTTTCTAGGAAATCCGGGAGCTCCTCATCCATGCTGCATGTTTGGATGGTTTCCGGGCAAAAGCTGGCCGCCATGGCCCTGCAGGCATCAAAGAAGAGTGATGTAAAGAGCTTGAAAGAGAACCTGCGCGACCTGCACGGCTTTCCCATATGCCTTCAGCAGGTCCTGCATGATGGCAAGTGCCTCGAAGATTTCGTGATCCTGCACGTGAAGATGGATCTTCAGCTGGTGCTCTTGACCGCCCTGAGCACTTCGCAGCAGCAACTTGCGGGCGCGAAGGAGCTCATCGAATATGCAGCTTCTAAGGGTCATGTGGAAGTGGCCCGTTTGTTGTTACAAGCCGGGGTCCCCAAGGACTTGCATTTCCCGGACGTTAGTGGCGATGAGACAGCCTTGAGCCTCGCATCGTTCAAAGGTCATGTTGAGCTTGTCCGACTGCTCCTGGAGGCTCATGCAGACACAGAAGTGCGAGCCGGGCAAGGCAGATTTACAGCCATCGTGGGCGCATGTTTCGATGGCCATGTAGAGGTCGCTCGACTGCTGTTGGAAGCTGGTAGGTCTACGGTGCACACACGTACCAGCACGGCATTTACTGCTTTGGCTCTCCTGGCTGCATCTTCCCAGGGCCATATCCAGCTTGTGCAACTGTTGTTGCAAGCTCGTGCTCAACCGAATTTGTGGCCGAACTTGGTAGGCGAGTCGGCATTGATTTTTGCGTGCGACGCAGGCCATGTCGAGATTGCAGAACTGCTGTTGCAAGCTGGCGCCCATGTCAACTTTCAGGACAACCACGGCGACACGGCTCTTATGTTGGCATCGGAAAAAGGGCATATCGAGATTGTGGCACGGCTGTTGGCAGCTGGTGCTGACTTGGACTGCCAGGACAAGGATGGAGACACAGCGCTTATTCTCGCATGTGGCCAAGAACATGCTCAGATTGTCCAATTGCTGCTGGACCGTGATGCGGCAATGGACCAGCAGGGCAAGGGCGGCTACACGGCTCTTATGTATGCATCTGACACGGGAAATGTTGAGATAGTCCATCTGCTTTTAAATGCTGGTGCGAGCAAGAACTTGCAGGGCAAGCGCGGCTATACTGCCTTGATGCATGCATCTGCAGAAGGCCATGCCGAGATCGTGCGGGCATTGGTGGAAGCTGGCGCTAGCACGCAGCTTCTGGCCAAGGACAACAACACAGCCCTCAGCCTCGCAAGTATCAATAGACACCATGAGATAAGGCACATGTTGCTGGAGTGTTGTGCATGCACAGACGTTTCGGAGATCGGTGGCAGACGCAATAGCAGCAAAGGAGGCTGCGCGAGGGGTTCCAAGCTGAGGTCATGTCCAAGCAATCACCACCTTGGGCTACAGGGCTGACGTGGTGGCGCTACAGTTGCATACAGGCAACTTACCTTCCGTTATGGACTTGAGGTCCGCATCCCGGACGGAGGAAGGTGCGACCAGTAAGAAAATGCGCTTATCCAGAAGCTGTATGATGCTTACTATTGTGTCTAAGGGCAGGAGGGGGCAATGCATATGCGGATTGTCATGGCTAGGCAGCTGTGTATGGGCGATGCTTGCAAACCATGAATGCCTACCTCATCTGTAGTTTTGCAAAATTAGACTGTCGTGCGGGGATAATAGAGTATGGAGGCGATGATTGCATCACATGGAGGAGGATTAGGGGTCGCTAGAGAGGATACACTCGGTCCACCTTATGGACTCTTCAATGTTCGGAGTCTAGGGATCCAAGTAGAAAGGCTTCTATTTCCAGGGAAGCATGCACCTATTGCTTGGGATTCAGACCTGTGGGGGATTCTTGCCAAGGCTTTCATCAGGACTTGTCCTAGGTCCTAGGCTAGGCTTATTATCAAATGTCATACTGCATCCTGAATAACAAATGGGGATGAAGTGGCTCAAAGCCTTGTGGGTACAAGTTCGCAGTTCAGACTCAGGTTTGCGCAGGTTGGGGTGAGACGTGTATTGTTTAAGAATGAATGAGAAGGATGGCTTTCCGCCTAAAGACCACAAGGCGCATGAACGCAAAACGCAGTTCGGCTTTTCAAACGTCAGGCAGCAATCCGCAAGACTGCACAAGCCTACTTGAAGCCATTCTCTGGGCGGAGCAGGCACCGTATAATGAAGTGGTATTTTCCCAAGGGACCCCAATATCGATCCCCGAATACTATAAGCCTTACTATGGGACCCCCGAAAGGGTACCCCTAATTTTTTTTAAGCCCCCCAGTAACATCTGAAAGTCCCCAAACTCCCGCAACGCATGGGTTGCAAGCCTTGACAAATCCAGAGCTTGCTTCCGACTAACAGGAATATGGCAGGGTTGAGGGTTTAGGGTTGCCTCGAATTAGGGGTACCTTTTTGGGGGGTCCCCATAACGATTATAGTATTTGGGGGCCTATATTGGGCTCCCCCTATTTTTGGGAAACTACCATATAGGGGTCAAAAGGAAGCTTTGAATCCTGAATCCCGAGGCGTCATACTCAACTCTGACACAGCCTTCCTGTGTCATAACAGGAAAAGTAACTTAAACTAGGCTACCAGAAATGGTGTAGATAGTAAACAAAAAATCTGGGGTATTGTTCACACTGTTGTGACCGCAACCCATGCTGCGAGATTAAACCCCTGCCCTCAATACTGAGCGTCTGCAAAGGACGGCAAAGGATCTGTACAGGACATTGCTCCTCCTCCTCCTCCTCCTACTACTACTACTACTACTACTACTACTATTACTACTACTATTACTACTGCTACTACTACTACTACGACGACGACGACAACGACGACGACAACGACGACGACGACGACGACGACGACGACAACGACGACGTCGACTACTACTACTACTACTACTACTACTAGTACTCCTACTACTACTACTACTACTACTACTACTACTAACTACTACTAACAACTACTACTACTACTACTACAACTACTACTACTACTACTACTGCTATTATTATTATTACTACTACTACTACTACTACTACTGCTGCTCAAAACGTCGATCCCTGCATAGCTCCAGTCCCATCTGATTTTCCTTATCCTCTTCCATGTCATTCTCCTTTATGGTGACTTGCGTAATTCAAGTCCCTACCCCTTTAGCCATAACATGCCATAACCCGAGTTTTGAGCTTCTGTTCCATGTGGCCCCACACCCCTTAGTTTAAGCGTCTGGCCAGCCTGAGACCTAAACCCTAAGACTTCCAGACCACCGGAGCCTGGGAGAGGCCACCCCACCAGTCCTCCAACGGCGAGAGGAGCCCGAGGAGGTGAAGGAGTGCTACAAAGCGGGTGTTGGGTTTAAGGGTTTAGGGTGTAAGGCTTAGGGTTTAAGGCTGAGGGTTTCGTGTTTAAGGCTTAGGGTCTAGGGTTTTAGGCTTTCGGTTTAGGGTTAGGGTTTGCAGAGGGTTTGGGGCTTGGGGGCCATTGGATTTGGGGATTATTCGGTTTGAGGACTACAGGCTTTAGTGGTATAGGGATTATGGCCTTATGGCTTGTGATTGCCCGTGAAATGGTAGACTGACATGGGTAATTCTCCAGATTAAGGCTCCCTCTGAATACCCACCAAGAGAATGAATGTGCATTCCTCGGGATCACCACAAAGGGGTCTACTGTTCTGAGAACCTTTATATGGAATTTGGGATTGTCCTCCAACGAGTTTTATATGCATCGATCCCTACAGTTTGGGTTCCGATCAAATGGCCAGTCCCTAAAACTATGGTCCCCTTTGGCGTACCTTTCATATTTGTTGGGGCCAGAACATATAGAGCACGAAGAAAGGGTCCATAATTTGACACCCCCCCCCCCCCCTACATCACCTTGTGGAAACAAACACCTTCTCGACAAATTCGAGCCTAGAAGCTTATATAGTAACTGACCATGCAAAGGTTATAAAGGATGGGTCAAGAGACTAGTAAGACAGGTGCTCGTCATACTTCTTTACGCGCTTGACATCCCACAAGCATCGACACGTTTCTGGTGATTTCTGGTTAGGTTTGTAAGTGCGCCTTTCCAAAGGTGGCTCGATATCCCGCGAACGGTGGTGTAGTTGACCCGTAGCCAATAGCAACAAGCAATTCACTTGGTGCGGTTCCATCTTTTTATCCTTGCGGGCAGTGTAAACCCTAAACCCTAGACCCTAGTTTAGGGTTTAGGGTTTAGCAGGATCTATGGCTCAGGACTTAGAGTTTGTTTCAGGTAGTACCCGGTGGTTCGGGCATCTGAGTCTTCGCAGCTTCGGGCTTAATTTCAGATTGAATGCAGCATGAAGCAGAACAAGGGCTTATAAATCTCATGAACCCATGACCAACTCAGAAGAACCATGTGAGGGTTCAGTCAGCCAATCCCGTCAGCTTTGCCTAAGCCCGGGCAACCTTGAACCCCAAACCGTCACGAAAGAAGCTGCAAGAGAATCACTACTCCGGAATGCATCCAGATATGAGATGTGCCCAGCTGTGAGTTGTTGAGGACTTAGCATATTCATCGTGTGGATAAGTTTATATTCTAGGAGATAAGGCCATATTCAATGGTAGTATGGACGACATGTGTCACAGTAAGGGATTGCAAATCACGGCGTAAAATGAGATCACAGAAGGATGAGATCACAGAAGAGCAGGGCTTTGTATGAGCACTCAGTTTCTTTTTGCATGTATTTTGAGGTGTTTGCTGTGACAATCTTTCGAAGCAAGGTCTAAGGCAACCGCAGGATGCGAGTTCCCGAGCGCCGAGCGGGGACTTCACACCCTTCCATCCCTCACAGAACTCTACACCTCCATACCAAGCATGCAACTCCCTATGCAAGTAACCCTGGACCCGACTTGGAGGGTTGAAGGACGTACTCGAAGTAAGTATACACATGACCCTTAGAAGTCATGTCCCATGCAATCCGGATTCGTCTCTATGACTAACCTCCTATCTCAGTCCCCCCATGACCCTCCACCTTAAACCTTTAAACCTAAACCCCCCAAACCCTTGAACCCTCCAACTCCAAACCCTACACCCTAAACCCTTTCCCCCTCATGCAGACTGTTGCCTTCTCAGAGGAGCCAGCCCAGCTGCGAAAGCGCGGGAACGACCTCTTTGAGTCAGAGGAGCTGGCTGGGCCGCGTAGCCCTGCTAAACTGGGGTTCGGCCAAAGGTAAAGGGTTTAGGGTTTAGAGCTTGGGGTCTAGGGGTCAGTGCTGTCCTGAAACGAGTTTTTCTTTTGAGAAACTCTTAAGAACAGACAGCTAAACTTTGTTTTTGGGAGGGTTTCAGGGCAGATAGATCCTTGCCCCGAACCATCAGACCTCTACCCCCGCCCTTTTTAAAGTAGATGTTCCCCTTGTAGAGATTAGAACCAAATTGGGAAGCTGGGAAGTGGGGTGCTTAACTGTTAGGATTGTCAGTTCGAAGTGCCTGAGCGACCTGGAACTCCAAAGGGCTGTAATTATCAGCTGGCTATGTAATTGAAATAGGTATCTCGAGCATTTTTGGAGCGTAATCGTTTCCATCTTCGTTTGGGAGGTTGGGTGTCACTAAGGCAGAGCTCGTCAAGCGATCATCAAATCGAACTGCGGCAGCTTTAGTTTTGAAGGTGGCTTCTACTTGTAGGTCAGCTCTTGGCACATGTACTATACCCCCTATAAGACACATGATAACCCCAGTTCTCTTCATAATTAAGACAATTTCTTAACCCCCCTGACCCTCCAAGTATCCGCTTGTTGCTGCAAGTCTTGTGTTAGGGCGTGGAGGTTCTCAATAATTGCAAAGTCTTCTTCTGGAGACCCATCCCTGCTCCCTGCTTGAACTTCGGTGGCCCGGAAGAGGAGTTCTACCCTAAACCCCAAGCCTCTTCTAGGTTTTTAATCCTCTTCTAGGGCTTTGCCGCTCTACACCCTAAATGATCCACACAGGCTACTAAATTTCATCTAGGTTTACAAATCTTGGCTTGGGCCGGGACCATAAAGAGATTTGGATACGAGTGCGCGCAATGGGCTGCTGTCAGTCAT